ACTGGTGACGCGGAACCGCTGGATTACCGTAGCAGCACAACAAGTCGGGATCTGCCTTTTGCTCCCTGGTCTGTTGAAACAGCTTCCTGTGTTGTTATGGGCTGTTTAATCAGCTTTGGGTTGTGAATCTCCTCCTGGCTCAGGTCTGCGATGGGAGCACTGGAGCTATTGTTTGGCATTTTGCCACAGCCCAGGGTTAAAAAGTGCATCCCAAAAGCAGTGAGCACAGAGGAGCTGAGTGGTGTCATGCAGCATCCCATTTGGTCTCTAATACCAAAACTTTGCTGCAAAAGCCATTGGAGGCTTCATGCGAAAGCCTGAATGCCCATGTGAGTGGTTTTGGCCAAAAGACAGGACAGGCTAAGCGTTGCTGATGTCTTATCTGAAAGCACTGGCCCCAGGACATACATATAAAGACGACCAGCACCCTTTCTTCCTAGCTTGTGTGGGTCATTTTCAAGGAAATTGATACAAACCAATGCCAGCTCTGTCCTCTCCAGTGCCAAATGGGGAAGGATGAGGGAAAAGTGACACTGAGCACCGCTGGGAACACCGCTTCCCCTTGGCAGGAGGAGCAGCCGCTGATCAACCCAAGGGAGCAGGAAGAGGAGGTAATGCATAGTTAACTGCCCCAGCACCAAAGCACCTCCACACCTGAAATCATTGCCTGCATTTTCCATCACACTGCTGAGTGAGTCCTTTGCCTTATACCAACCAGTACAGGGTTAAAGGACAGTTGAGGAAAGTAGAGCCCCCCCCCCCCATCCCAAATCACCACCTCTCCATTAAAGGAGACTCTGGCTGTGCACACACAGCAGCTCGCACGCATCATGTTTTTCTTGTAACCCTGTTGTGCAGAGCTAAGGTGGTGCAAGAGAGGAGGCAGGAATGAAAGGGCTGATGTTTGCCTCCAGGGCGCTTCGCAATCGCCCAGCAATTCATTCTCTTTGCTGCTGAGCGTGTTTGCACCGCAGGCTTGTCAGGTCCTCCGGAGGCCTGTAGGAACAAGGCACTGCAGTGCTCATGCTAAGCAGCAGATAAATAAAGCTATGAGGAGCTGGGAACCAACTGTTACAAAGATGGATAATCTATCGGGGCTGCATCCCCCCCCGAGCCCCGCCCCGAAGACATAGACACAGAGGGAGATGTTGTGAGGCTGCTTTTCTGCTGCTGGGGGCCCAGTTCAACCCCTCCCTCTGCCCCCTGCCCTGAGGAAGCACAGTCTGCAGCGTGTTTTGGTTGCCCTAATCCAGTTCTCCTCCATGGCAGGGTGAGGAGGAACCACTCCAAGCACTGGGGCACGAGAGCAACATTAACATTCCTGC